TATTAATAATCAATTTAAATCAATTCTAGTTTTAATATATTCAATCCAATGTGACTTTAAAATATCATCACTTAAATTTTCATTATTATCAAATGAATAATATGAAGGGTATACTTTATCAATATATACTTTATATGAATTATACATTGATTCATAATATTTTTCATTTACATCTTTTTCTGAAAAATCATATTCTTTATCATTTCTCAATTTACGATCACGTTCAAAAATTCTTTTCAAAGAAATTTCTTTAGTGACAGAAATATTAATAACTTCTTGATTATATTTTAAATTAATTTCATTTAATTTTTCTTCTAAATAAGGTAAACATATTTCTTTATGAATACCATCTTTAATACCATTAAAAGTAAAAAAAATTGTATCAAGATGTGATCGATCAAGAATTATATAATCATAATTCTCAAAATTACATTTTTCATAATACTTTTTATATTCTCCAATAAGCAAACCTTGAAACCAAAAAACTATTGATTGATCATCTGGATTTTCATCTAAAAGTTTATAGTAAATAGATAATTCTTTTTCCAATATTAAAGACATTTCTTCACTTAATAAAACTTTTTTATTAATACTTTGTAAATATTCAGCTAAAAAATTTGATAATTTAGTTTTCCCAGCTCCAATAGGACCAGTAATAATAATAATTTTTGGATCATGTTTTTTATCAATATTAAATATATTTTGATATTTTAAAAGAATATCATTGAACATTTGATTTAAATCCATTTTTTTTTCTATTAAATTATTTAGAAAATAACTATCTTTTATAAAAAATAAATAATTAATAATTTATAATTTAATTAAAAATGGATCAATATATTTTTTAATATCCATAACAGAAAAAATTAAATCACTATTATTATTAATAATAATTGCATCATTACAAATATTATTCTTAAATTTATCTCGATATACTTTAAGAATATTTTTACATTCAGCTAATGAATATTTTCGTTCATTTACTTTTCTACTATTATAATTTCTTTCAAGATTATTTTCATTACACAAAATAAGAAAAACCATTATTAAATTATTAAATTCAACATGTTCATTTTTAATAATATTTTTATCAAATTCATATATTTCTTTATAAACATCACCATCAAATACTTCACGATCAACAATAATAAAATCTTCTTTTAAATTTTCCATTTCAATTCGACGTTTATGATACTGATTTAATAAAGCATATTCAAATTTTTGAATATCATTTTCTTTATATTCTAACAAATACTCCGATCCTTTTAAAATAGATTCACAACAAATCTTTACAGAAAATCCTTTATTTTCTATTCTTTCTTTTAATACTCTCATTATACTTGTTTTTCCAACCCCTGTAGGTCCTGATATAACAATATATCTTGGTGTAATATTTTTTAATATTTCTCTTTTAAAAATATTCATTGTTGGAATTAATGGATAATTATA